TTCGTGATGGTCCCTGAGCCCTGAGTGGGTGAAGTTTAATATAGGAGTCATGTCCAAGCACCAGCCTTGTGCAGACTCTTAATCTCTAAGTTTGGGCCATTTATGACCTTCTGTATTCCTGGCCCTCTAACAACAGTCATCTAAAAAGGAGTTGAAGCTAGAGTTACTTCCAGGTAGAAAATGTTCCACACATCTGTTACATTCACAGTTATTGAGTCTGGTTCAAAGGCATCACATAGTCAAAATTTTGAATGTGACATGATCCCTGACTTTAAGGAACTTGCTTTTTGTGATAGTTAATGTTGACTGTCAACTTGACAGATCTGGAACCACCCAGCAGACAAGCCTCCAGGCTTGTGAGGGATTGAAATAAGGCTAGCCCCTGGGCATGCTTGTGAGGGATTATCTAGATTAAGTTAATTGAGGTGGGATAATCAGCTCTAAAGAAAGTTGACCCCTGGCTTTGGGTCTGGCAGAAGGAAGCTCCCTGAGCACCAGCATTCATAGCTCTCTACTTCCTGGCTATGGATGCAATGGGACCAGCTGCCCCAAGCTTGTGCTGCCATAACTTCCCCAACCATGATGGACTGTACCTCACACTGTGAGTCCATGTCCATATACACCCTTCTTTCCTTAAGTGGCTTTTGTCAAGATATTTTTATCACAGAAACAAGAAAAGTAACTGAGACACTTTTGATAGTAGAACAACAGAAATCAGCATCACTTTGTGCATTATATATTATCTTTTCCCTGAGTGTAAACCCTTCGAAGAAGGATCAGGCTCTAAATTCGTCATGTTGTGAATATAGTAAGTGCATAATATGTTAGATTAATAAGTATTAGTGAGTGGCACTGATGAAGCTATGCTAATGACAGACAGAACTATGATGGTTCATTGGGAAGTTCATGGTCTGTGTAACACCTTTAAAAAATTCCCTCACCAGGCTTATAGAGGAAAATTATCTAGAAGCAGTTTGCTATAATCCACTAAATTTATTTCTCTCAAGGGTTTATTTATAAAAGCTATAAATTCCTGGAAATGTATGAATAATTCAGATGATTTGTTAGCAGTAGTAAATGGGTTAAAAATGAAAAATTCTCATTTTAGAGGCCTGGTGTTTCCTCTGCTTTTGAAGCAGAGGTTAATTATGGGCACGTCTTTTATTCTAGCAGAATGGTTGTAAAAGCAGTTTTGTCCCATGTAGAAATGTAGCAATCACAACAATAGTGAGTGATTGATCAATCTCGGTTGCATTGCTGCAGCCTGATACAGTGGTTCTATTGTGATTGGCCTACTTGTTTATTTTTGAGACAGGATCTTGCTATTTAACCCAGGCTGGACTCCAATTATTGGTCCTCCTTCCCCAGCCTCCTGAATGCTGTGTTTATAGGCTCAATAGAATTATCAGATTGTTAGCAATTATGGACATCAAGTACTGTCTGTAATTCTAATGTAAGGTTTTCAAGACACGGTGGTGTAAAATGTGATTTTCTTCAGCTAGGACTTGCTATTGATGAAGGTCACTTTCCCCAGCACCTGCTGTACGTAGCAGAGACAAGCCCATCCCCTTTTCCTCGACATTAGAGGTGTGATGCGTGAACTTCGTTTTGTCTTGTATGCATAAATCTACCCAATAATTCACTGTTTGGAATTTACAGCTTATATTTTGAAAGAAACAAGAACTTAAAGACCCTTGTGAAAATTGTGTTTTCCCCACTATTTAGAATTCTCTTACCCATAGATCTAATTCCACATCAACTTTCTTAAGTGCCTTGTCATCTTTGGTCTTCCCAAAGCATCCAACTTAGTTCTCACAGAAACAAGAACATTTCCACAGCAATAGTCACTAGTTTTATGTTGGTTAATCAAACGTAAAACTTAGAATGATACCACTGTATCCGTAGGTGGGGGAACCAACCTTCTCTATGGTCATGAAAACTTAAGTGGGAGGAGCCAAAGCAGTGCAGGCGTTATTAGGAGGGCTCAGTCTCTAGTCGCCATGGGACTAGGGAGCATTGCTTCACCTAGTCAGCATTTAAAGCAGAGGTTAATTGTGGGTACTTATTTTATTATTACAGAATGATTGTATGTAGGGGCAGTTTTGTCCCCAGTGGACATTTAGCATTCTCTGAAGATAGTTTTAGTAGTCACAACAGAGTAGGGGATGGCCAGATGCTGCTGGTGTTTAGAGACTAAACACGGAAGCTCCTAAGCATCCCATGATGCCATGCTTACCAAATTTTCATCACTGTGTCAAAATTCCTGAGAGAGCATTTAAAGGAGGAATGGTTTATTTTGACTCAGGGTTTCAAAGGTTTTAGCTCTTTAGGTTAGCTGCCTTCATCACTTTAAGCCTTAGGAAAGGCAAAACATCCTGCCAGAGAAGGTAGGATGGAGCAGAGCTGCTCACCCCATGGCAACTGGAAATCAAAGAGAAATAGAGATAGGAGGACAAGAGAGGAGGAGGAGGAAGAGCAGGAGGAGGACGACGACGAAGAGGAGGAGAAGGAGGAGGAGGACAAGGAGGAGAAAGAAGAGGAGGAGGAGGAAGAGGTGGAAGATGGAGGAGGAGGAGGAGGAGGAGGAAAGACAACATATATCATTCCAGGACATGCCCCCAGTGACCTGCTTCTTCCAACTAATCCCACCCCCTAGGTTCTACCACCTCTCAACAGGGTCATGGTACAATGACTCCATTAATGGGTTCATACATTGGGTACATTACAGTCTTCATGATCTAGTCATTTCTCAATGACTGTGTCTGCAAGGTGCAATCCAAATCTTTCATAAATAAGACTCTTGGGGGACACTGCAGATCCACACCACAGGAACTTCCCAGGACATTACCCAATATGCACAACCAAAAATTATCTAGTCCAAAATGCCAAGGTTGATTGGTTTATTGTAATGTGTGAACAATGTATTTTTGAAAGCTATCAAGTGATTTATAATATTAGAAAATGTGTAATTCCAAAAGCCAAAGTAACTGTCTAAAAGGTTCAAAAGAAAGATGCCTATACTGTGCCTCCATGCTAGGCTGCTGTTGGTACTATGAACTACCTTGAAACACAAATCTAATGCTCCAAGTCAGCAAGAAGACCAGACGAGCTCATTAAGACAATCCCAACAAACTGAACTGATATTTATTAAGTACTAGTATACGTTAGTGTAAGTGGATAAGTGATAAATAATAAAATAAACGCTTAAATGTACTTGTAATGCACTAAGTGTTGTAAAAGAAATCTTAGATGGATTGCCCACAGATACTTAGTTGGGCAACCTATAGGTGCAGATTCTGTTTGGAAAGAGAAACTTCTTATATAGATACTAAATTCTTAAAGGGAATAACCATGAGACTGGAGAGATGGTGCATTTCGCACGCAAAAGGAAACCGTGAGTTCAGATCCCAGTACCCACACAAAAAGCTGGACAGGGTTAACGTAACCCCAGCCAATTGTGCCATGAAGACAGGACTATCATTGGGGCTTTTCGGCCACCAACACAGTACCAGGTTCAAGTAGCAGACCTTGTCTCAAGGGACTAAGACAGAGAGAGAATGACAGAACAGGCCCCAGCATCATCCCCCAGCACATAGATTCTTACACTAGACATATGTGCACATACACCACCCACAGCGCGTGCGCGTGCACACACACACACACACACACACACACACATTAAAAAATAAACATAAAAGATAGATGGGTGTGTGAAGCACTCCACAGTGTGGTAATGCACAATGCCCTCAGTGGCAGTTTTGCTGAAGGAATGGAAACTTCTCCCCAAAGGCAATTTTTACAGCAATAAAACCTGAAGGCTTACTATTATATGATTACTGGAAATGAACGTGTCTGTGGGAGCTAAACTTAAATCATTTTTCTTTTCAAACAGAGTATGGTTCCGTGAGAATCACCACTTTTCTACCATAGTCAGATAATATCACAGGCAATCAGTATCAAGAGACAGTTCTAGAAGCTGCGCAGCCAAAGAAGGCGCTGGAGTACACACAGTTCTTTATTTAGATTGTCGAAGTGACTAAAGGAAATACTAGCATAAGGATGGGGCTCCTAACCACTGTTGAAACATGAATCTTAGAAATCCATGGACCATCTGTGATTGTGTACCACATTTTCTGTTTATATGTGCATTGATTTTTTTCTTTATAAAGTATTCATATCTTTCATGAGAACCCTCAAAAGATTATATGACCCTAAAAAGAATTCATAACTCAATCCCTTAGTTTAAAGTTGAGCCCTCTTTTACTGCTAAAATAGATCAGCATAAAGCTTCTGTCCCCCATCGTTTATAAGAACGTGTCTATGACTGAAACACATGATGTGGCAAGAAGGAAAAAGTCTTCAAATTAAACTGGTCATTTTCGTTAACATACTACACAGCCTGTTGAGTTAGTCATTTTCTTTTGTACCATTTGAATCATTGTACTGAATCTTTGGCAGTCCTAAAGAGTTAAACATCATAATATAAACAAAAGAAAAGGAAAAGCACAAACAGTAACTTATTGCTAAAAGAATTGGGTTTTGCACTGTTCATGTTTCTTCCTAAACCTCAAATGACCAAGATCAACGTGTGGAAATATTTCCAAAGGACTCTGCTCCTAAACGACTCTGGGAAACACATTGAAGTTTTTTTTTCATTTCACTGTGAATATCTGAAATGTGGTTTTGGGTTTTATTTTTTACACATTTTCCTTCTGGAAAATGTGTAAAAAATAAAAATTAAAGATGTTGTGCATCTTTACATTTTAGTGTTTTGATCTCAGTTAAATTCTACCACCAGGAAGCAGAGACAGTTACATCACATACGCATAAACTTTCTCTTGAAAGTAACCATTGAAATGTTTATGGAAATTAATCAGAGCTGATTAGTCGCCTACGTGTGCTGTGTCTTCTTAACACATACCTTGTGCATCTGATTGTGGGATTAATTTGTATATTACCACAATGAGCTTACTCATGCTTGTCTTCTTTTTCTCTAACAGAGAGACTGCCGTGGAGTTAGCTGGAAGTCCACCAAGGTGAGCAGCTGGCTTTGCTTATTCGCATCCTGATTTTGCAGCATTGTGTCCTCTTTAAGTGGACTTTTTGTTTTCTCTTTCTCACATCATTATGCCAAAGCCAAAGATTATATCTGAGTTATTGGTCACATGTAAGTTATGTCATCAAGAAGTATTGAGGCTAATGTCTATGAATGATTTTGAGAAACAATTCTCTTTCTTTGTAAGTTATATCATGCACTTGAATAGGTAGATAGTTGGATAGATGATAGGTAGATAGACGATAGATAGATAGATAGATAGATAGTAGATAGATAGATTGATAGATGAATGATAGATGGATAGATGATAGGTAGATAGACAATAAATGATGGATGATAGATAGATAGA